ATTGATCAATATTGTGAGATGCTGCCCTGAAGTCTGACGTTGTGAACACTGAGACATAACCTACATCTGAACCTCTGAAGTATACCATCGTGAGACATAATACGCTAAATCTGTTGCGCACGGTCGATCAATGTAAACGTTTATCATTGCAGTTTCCGTATTATGTTAGTTTTTGAACGCAGATTGACAGGCTTAAACAGCACCTGGACACGGATGGCTGGTGCCTCTATAAATAAATCATTGATGGTCAGGTCAGGTACGCAGATTGAAAGCAATCTATGTCATCTTTATATTATACTAGCTGGGCCCCCTTTCGATGAAAGGAATGATCGGTGCACTAACGTCAGCCGAAAGCCATTGGCTTATGACATTTACACTCTACTGGAATGGAGCAATAAATCTTGAGAGATGCACAAATTAGAAGGTTTAGATCTATACTCTCAAAACAGAGCGCACGGTTAGCGAACGGAAACCTCCTTTTCTAAAATTACAGAGACAGAAACGTCGGCCTACAAAGCGATCGGCGAAATAAAGAAATTTTGCTTTTTGAATCAAAACTGTCTCAAAACTGAAAAAACGAAGGGCGTCATGATCTGGAGAATATTTTAAAGAATCTTTTGGCGAAACCCGCATGCCGATCGATGCAGCCATTAAAAAGCCTTTTGAATAGCAACATTCAACCCCCACAAATAGATAATAGATACTTAATTCAAGGTGACAATTTAGTTGACGATGGTGTATTTTCAAGGACTTTGTATATAGAGAAACAATAAAGTTCCGACAGCCCAAAAGTTCTTAAGCTCACTTGTTGGTGAAGATTTTTTCTTTGAGTAGTGGTGCTACCACTGCATGTTTGCTTCAAGAAGGCAGATAGTAGAGCAAGTCATACGGCAGAGATGAACTCAACAACACTGGTTAAGTGCGTGATCGACAAGGCTTTGGAATGGGAATAGTAGTAGGCTAGAAGTAGAAGTAGTAGTAGTAGTAGTAGTAGTAGTAGTAGTAGTAGTAGTAGTAGTAGTAATTGTCATTTTTCCTCTACTTGTTTTGTAAGTTTGTCAATCTCTTGTGAACTGTTATTTCCGGGATGCCTTGATAGTTGAAGCAGACTTTGTGCTGTTGAGACTAGAGAGGTGAGCAGAGTAAGCCGGATTCCCCATTTGGACATCTGTGTTGATCTTTGAACATAAAAGCTATGAGCGTCTTCGTCTAGACGCCATTTTGTTGCCTCTGCCGACACGGTCAGAACGTTGGGGTTCATTGACCGATGCCCAGATACACGGCTGTAACTCTCTTGCGGATAGAACAATGTACGGTAGTTCTAAAACGAATTTTCAGCTTACCGTTAGCACAAAGGAAATATTTGATTACCTTGATAAAACGCTCTTTCTGCCTACTGTTAGCAAAAAGTAATTCTTTGATTACCTTGTTATTAGCTCCGATTAATCTTACGATTTTGTTTGAGCTGATAGCTAGAACATTTAAAGACTACTGGGGAAAAACGACGGTAGTCACAAACTGAAAACCATGAGGGTACCAACTTTGAACGATTGTTGACTCACAACAGTTTTTCTGTTCAACTGTTGGTTGATTATTGTTGTTAGATTTCCCATTCAACAACACTTAACAATTAACCAGGGGTCAAACAAATATGAAGTTATGAGTCCACAAGCTTTTAAAATTGGCACCCTTACAATTTCCAGTTTGTGACTACCGTCGTTTTCCCCCCTGTGCTCTTCATTTGGTTTCGAACCTCATGGTCTTAGTCACTCAAAACGGCCAAAAGTTCCCAGACAGAACTCTGTAATTCTCAAGCAGCGAACATATCTTCATAATTTAAAAATCCAGCAAAACATTTGAAAAGTAGCAGGTAACCTACCATTACACCTTGAGGCAGAAGCGTTCCCATTGTGCAAAGTTTGAGATGCAGGACTCCAGCCACACGCAAAGTCTGGGCAAAGTTTGAGGCGCAGGATCGCAGTCACACACACACGCAGCTATGGCAGGGCAAACTTTGAGGTGCAGAATCCCAGCCACACACACACGGCTAAGTCAGGACAAGGAGTTGTGCTGAGCCAAGAAGTCCTCTCAAGACGATACCAACTGGCCTTACTACCTCTGTTACTTTTTCTCCGTCGCCACAAATATGTTAGAAACTTGTGCTCAGAGCAAGCAGGCCGTGTCCACTCAGAAGCTGAGAGATGTTTGGTCTGCAGTTGGCAGAAAATTAAATATTCCCGGAGTTATATATACGATTGCCGTAGCCCTTCCCCCCTACTTAACACTCCTCAGCAGAAATATTTAAATATTCCCGGAGTTATATTATACTATTGTTGTAGCCCTTTCTCCCTCTCGGCACTCCTCATCTGACCTGTTTTTT